AAAACCTCCCCGCCAGGTTGACAGCCGTGGCCCCCCCCCCCCCGTGCCGGGTGCCACGAGGCGGGGGGGGGGGTTTCTGAGAATAATGGTTTTGGGAATTTCCAGCTGTCAGGGTTGAGGAACAGGAAGTGTTCCGAAGAGTCTGGTACAGTCCCTGGGACCGTGAACACGTCTTTGAAACCAAACAAACGTTACAGTCGAAGACATCAGTGCGGTAAACTACCGTTTGAAATTAAGTCACAGTCGTGTGACAGGAGTGTGCAGTAGTACAGTAATACAAGCATACACTCATACACGACCCGCACATATATTCACACATATATATTTATATATGTGAATATATATATAAATATATATGTATATATGTGTATGTAAATATGTTTATATATTATACATAAAAATACATATATGTATATACATACATATATAAATATATATGTATATATATTTACACCTAAGGCACACTTGGTAAATATAGATAAACAACAAAAATATATATTGTATGTGTACATACATTTGTATGTATACATACATAAATATATATATATATATGTGTGTGTGTGCATTTGCATAGTTCCATCATATTGCACAGGTTGTTGTGCTTTTTTTTTGCAGACTTGGCATTTTCATCAGGATTTTAAAAAATTAGTGTCATCATAAACTAGCAATAAATCATCGCTTCTTTAAAAAAAAAAAAAATGTTACGCAAGTGGTCTCATACCACCAGAGGCAAAAATATAACCCTGGGCCTCATCAGGACATAAACAGGACCATCATTCTTCTTCTACTGGGAGGTATGTCAGACTGCTGCTGCTGCTGCTGCTGCTGCTGCTGCTGTGACGCGGCTGGAATGCTTGTAGAAATACCACAGTCAGTCACTAAGTGATCCATGGTCCTGAGGGTCAGTACACTGGTTTGTAGAGAATCTGACCGGCCAGCAGCCTGCGCTTCAGCTCCTTCCACAGCAGGCTGCGCTCTCTCTGGGAGCCCTTCATGAAGCCCCGGTTCTCCTGAGCACGGCGGGACAGGTACGGGATGACCTCATTGACAGGACCGTAAGGAACGTACTTGTAGACGGGGAATCCAGCCTGACCTGTTTTTAAGACAACAGGTCCAAGAGTTACACTTTAAAACAGCGCTGGTTGTCGCCACCATGTGTACACTCTGTGTAATGACAGCCGAGAGCCTTTCATCTAAAGATGTAGCAGAGAAATCAAACGGATGGAAAAAAAACATGACGTGAATTATTTAACTCAGTTGAACTAGAACTACAACTACCAACGTCTGTTAATAGTTAGCCAGCTAACCTGAACCAAACCCAAAGATAATCCGTACATAATAGCGCCTCCTGTGGTATGAACTGATCAAACTGTTGTCATACTATAGTGTTTTGGGGACAAGAAACCTATGATGTCGTCAAAGTTGTATGTTAGCTAGGGCTGTGTACTGGCAAGAAAACTCGCAATACGATATGACGTATCACGATACGGGGCAACAATACGATATATTGTGATATATATTGCGATTCTATAGGTACAACGATATATTGAGTTGATTTCACTTGGTTTTAAGAAGGTTAAAAACTGGGAAAGAATGATACGTGAGGTGATACGATACGTATCACGATATATTGTGATGTTATAGGTACGGCGATATATATTGGGGTTTTTTTTTAAACATTTTAATTGGAGTCCCAGTGTGATCCTAGTCTCAGACTCTGTTCCATCTGAACATCAGGTTACTGACACTGGAACAGAGGGATCTACATTTGGAATCACTAGAGAAGAAAGAAAAGACAAAGATAAAGAACCAACATCCCAAAAAACAAATATCGCGATATATCGTCGTATCGATATTTTCTCACAGCCCTGATGTTAATTATCTGCACCTGTTACTGTCGTGTTCCACGTGCCTCGTGTCGGGTGGACAGACAGACAGACAGAAGTACAGTATATAAATGTGCACGCATCACTATCAGCCACCAGTAGGAGATAAGTTTATCGTTAGACTAACAGCGACCGTCTGTGCTTACACAACACGACGTGAAGAAGCTGATAACAGAACACACACGCGGACCGTAAAGTTGTCTGTTGGCAGTTTATCTCCACTGTGTGTCCTAAGGTTACTGACCAGGTCAAGAGGTCAAAGTCGGTTAAGACGTTCAGTCCACGTGGCTGTGACCCAGACGTGTGTACAGCGATCCCTCTGCTATCACGGCAGTTGCGTTCAAAGACCGACCACGAGATGGGAAAAATTGCGAAGTAAAGGTGAGATCGTTATTATGGTATTTACGTAAATATTTGCCCTAAAGACAAGGGGAGATGCTACGATGCATGAGCCAATCAGCGTGAGGAACAGAAGAGCACGCTCAATTAGCCAATAGTACAGCGAGTACGCGATGTATTACCCAATAGTATGCTGTGTACCATCTCAGCTAGGTAAACAAAGCTACCAGGGAATGTTCGCAAACGCGCTTATCTCAATTTCAGTAAACAAAGCTACCAGGGAACGTTCACGCTTATCTCAATTTCAAAACAAAAATCCACATTTTTAAAGCCAAAACTTTCGTACATATAATTATTTTATGCCTTTTTGTTTTGCTATATTTTGCAAAATCGGATTTAAAAGAGAAACTGGTGATCTGTGCGTCACGTGTCCCAGCGATGTCAGCGGCCTGCTGTACAACCATCAGTAAACGTGGACCATAACTCACCCAGCGGGAAGCTGATCTGGTCGCACATGCCCAGCAGCTGTCCAAAGTAGACCTTGTTCTCAGACGGTGAAAGGCCCATGTCGTTCATCCTGGGGACACAGAGGGGGGAGACAGAGCGTCTTACATAAGGACGGCTGGAGTCCAGTTTCAACAGCTTTGTAAAAAAAAAAAAAAAAAAAATGTTATTGTCACAGAGTCTGGGGTATCAGTTAGATAAGGGGGCAAATGGACCGCTGTTAGAGACTAAAGGGCTAACGTAATCTCCTGAGACACTAAGAATCAGTTAAATGGTCTTGGACAGATCCTAAAAAAAACAAGGAAAAAAATGAGTTCAGAAAAAGACAAATGTTCATCAAAAACCATTAATGGAACAAGAATATGTGAATTAAGCAAAAACTGCAGCTAACAGCTAACGAAAATACATCTAAAGATTTAATGTTGGCTTAATGTTGGAGCAGATGTCATCGACAAAATTAGCGTAGCATTACTGAATGACTACTTACTCACAGCAACATCTGAATGCTGCCTAAAAAGCTAGCATCAAGTTAACTGGCTGAAATGTAACCAAAACGCATGACAAAAACAAAATGGAATAAATTCATAAAAATGTACAAAAAAAATCTATAAAACAAACTAAAGCCCATGTACACAGAAAAGATGTGAGATGATTGAGGTCAAAGGTCACCAGCCTCTTTTAAATCACTGGTCCCTGAGCAGCGCTAACAGAATGAAACAGAATCTGCTCCTGGTACACACTGAACCTTCAACCGTCTTCAGTTTCACATGCAGCCTCCAGGGGGGTGTAAGGAGGGAGGGAGGG